ATTAATTGCATTTCAATAATTAAATGTCTTTCAAATCGTCCTAGCGAAACAAAATGAGAGAGGAGGGAAAAGTAAGTGCCTGGGTTTGAACGGCACAGCACGCCGAGCTGTGATTGCTTGTGTGTGCGAATGCTAACAAGAACCTTACAAATCTATATGTGTGCAGGACTGCTGACGTGCATCTGTCAGCTACACATGTGGCTGCGAGAATAAGGAGCAGTAAGTAAGATACTCTGTTTCCTCAAGCTGGGACCAAGCTTGCTATGTGCTGCCGTGTGAACCATAAGAAGAAGTTTAACATCTGTGTTCTGCAGTACGTGTCTTCGCCCCACAGTTACTGAGCACACTGTGCATGCAGTGCACTTGTGTTGTCTTTCTTCTGCCTTTTTTGTTCCGCGTAAAATAAACTCACAAACCGAAGCACGCTACCTGCATATACGCTTTCAAGCCGCAGGTTTGTCCCGAGTGTGCTCAGCGGCAGCAAATACACAGGATATTTAGCTTATATTTGGACAGATCTGAGGATGAGGGAGCATTTCCAAGAGAAAGAGGTCAGGTGAGGGGAAGACGTCAAAACAACGGAAATAGCTCATCTTAGATTTAGGTAGCAAAGCTGCCAAAAGCTGGCATCCCAAATTAAATGCATCCATGTTGGAAAGCATTGAAAACATAGAGGATCTTAACACCTAAAGCTACCTAAAATACTGAGGTATGCTTTTAAAAATTTGTAAACGATTTAAAAATTGTGTGTTTATCTGCAAGTGTGAGCATTGCATACAATTAAAGGGTTTTTTAAAAATTATTTTATTTTGTTTCATTTAACAAGTGTAATACGTACCTGTGTTTATACACTTGTACCCTGGAACTGATCTGTTGATTGATTTGTGATGCCAAGTGTAGAGGAGAGAGGATGAGTGCAAGTAGAAGATCTGAGGAGGAAAATAAAATGGTGACAGTCATTTGATAACCCAATCTATATGCAAAACACATACTACTCACAAAGTAGACTGCTGCTTTTGCACCACTAGCTGTTCAGCAGGTACTAAGTGTAGACGCAGGATGCATGACCTCACCTGGCTTGAATGCAGCCGTCATGAATGCACCTGTGCATTTCCTGCTATGTGTCTCCTCTGAAAAAAACAAAAGCAAAAAAAAAAACCCCAAGATTTTCGCATTGCCCAGCTTCTTCTTCTTTTTTTTTCTTTTTTTTTTTTTTTTTTTTTTTTACATCTGTAGTCAGAAGACTTTAACTCAAAATCAGTTTAATTTATTCCCTAAATGTTTACACCTGCAAGCTAACAGTTTCAAAACCTTCATTATCACTCTGCCTCTCGGCAGCCTCGTCACAGCTTTTTATTGAGGATCACCTGCCTTGTCTCTTTTTTCTTATCTCTGTTACCACCCCAGATATACGGGCACTGCTAGGTCTGTAAGTATTTGGACAACGACGCATGCTTTTTTTGTAGTTTTGCCTTGTTTTGTAAAGCAAGCCATCAATATGGGATTAAAGTGCAGACTTTCAAAGCAGTTTTTTTTTTTTTTTTTAAAGTTGCATTAAATGTGTTGAAATTTCGACTTTTTTTTTTTTTCAGAGATTACAAGATGATAATAAGACAAACTAATATAATTGTAAAAATCCCTTGCAGTCATCAAATGCTTCAGTTTCCCTTGAGATGCCAGGCCTGTACCGCCTTCAGTAACTAAAAGCTGCACTGTTGTGCCTGACCTGACCATTGAAGAATATCCAGTTTCACTGCCTTAAAAAAAAAACCCTGGACTGCTTTTGCTTTGGATCATTATCAATTTATATTGTGAAGCGCTGTCCAATCAGTTTTGCAGCATTTAGCTGAATCTGAGCAGAGAGTATAGCGTCACCTCATCAATAAACAATAGCTGCCCAGCTCCACTGGAAGCCATATAGACCCATGTCATAACATTGCGTTGTTTGACAGATAATATGCATTTCCTTCCTTCTCCATACCTTTCTCTTCTCATCATTCTGGTACAAGTTCATCTCGGTTTCATCTGTCCAAAGAATAATCTCCAGAGCTGTGTAGGCTCTTTCAGATATTTTCTGGTAAAGTCCAGTCTGGCCCTCTTGTTCTTCAGTGTAACCAGAGGTTTGCAGGTTGTTGTAAACTCTGTATTTACATTCTTAAAGGAGTCTCTTGATTGTAGACTTTGACAGTGACAGTCCGACCTCTTCAAGAATGTTCTTGACTTGGTTAGATGTTGTGAAGATGCTTAACCTAACCATAGAAATAAATCTGTCATCATAGTTGTGTTCTGTGGTCTTTCAGACCTTTTAATGCTGCTGAGCTGCTCAGTGCATTCATTGTTTATTATATTTAATATTCCACTGAAAAGCTACCAAATGCTATCGAATCAACTCTAGATTTCTCATTTTCTTAATTTGTAATAAAATAATGAGGGAGCACGCCTCACCTAACCATGAAACTGCTTGTCAGGAAATTGTCCAATTTACTTTGGACTCCCTGAAAATCGGCGACGGTGGATAAGAACGGCTGTAATCCATAAACAGCTAATAGAGTATTTTTGTTGAAAGTCTGACCTTCACTAACATCCTGAACGTTTTATTTAAAATACACTGTAGCAATGCACAGTCCCAAAGCTGCACAAAAATCGTGTCGTTGTCCAAACACTTACGAACGAGACTGTATGTGTACGCTTCCCCCACAGGACTAGTTGATAGTGACCTTTCCTATGCTGTAGACCATTTGAAAAAGCCTCCAGTCTTTTCACTTTTACCGCTGACCCCAAATAAAGGCCGATCCAATTACAACTCAAACCTTCTAAATGTGCTCCCACAGCACCAGAGGGGTGGGTGTGTGTGTGTGTGTGTGTGTGTGTGTGTGTGTGTCTCCTTGGTCAGGAAGAGGGTAGTCTCACCCTCGATAACACGG